CTACACCTCCAGCTTTTCATGTTGGCAAATATGCTCAAGGTGACAAAGCAGTTCTATATTCTTCTAGAATTTTCCCGTTGTGTAATAGAGATGTACTTAGGATGGTATTTCTTGTTGTACATAGGAGTAGACTACAAAAAACTTATTAGCCTAGAAGAACACCCAATGAAGTTAGCTTAAAAGAAGTTCTCTTAAATATTTGTGATTGTGTGTCCTTTGAATTTCTACAATGACAGTTGTATTTTATTTAAATGAACATAGAATATTCTTATGTTCCTAAGGTTGTGTAAGGTAGGTAAGAACTAAGGCTTCAAGTATCACTAGTTTCAAAATAAAAAAAACAAAAACGAAATAATGTAAGCTCATAACACAGCATTTTTGTAGAAAACTTATCTGTTCCATATAGGGTTGCCAGATGGCTGAAACAAAAATACCAAACACTCCCGCCACCCCACTCACCTACCAGGAAAAAAATTCTGTTGAAGGAAAAAAAAACGGGAGGGGGGGGGAGAGCACAAGGTTGTTGAGAAAAAAAAAAAGACTCCAATACTTAAGCAAAAAAAAATTAAATAAAACAGCATTAAAACAGCATATCCCCTTTAAAAGTGCATGCAGGGATAGGAACAAGGGAGAAGTTGAGTACTAATACCCAGGGGAAGCAATACTTCTCCTTGGTCGGCAGCAATGTGTGCCGGCAGCTTTGAGGAACCAGGTAAGCATGGGGGCTGAGTGCTGAGTGTTTGTAGGGTTGCCAGGTGCCCGGCATTTTTGCCTCCTGGCCAGGAAAAAATTCAGAAAATACCAGACATTTTAAGTGTCCGGTATTCTTTGATTTTTTTTTTTTTTTTAAACCAGACAGGCTGCGAAAATACCAGGCAACCTTAGTTCTATGAGCTTTGCTTGCATCTACTACTTGGACTTGTACCTTTAATCCTTCAAGCCAAATGACGCACCCATGGGACAATCGCCTCTCGGGAAGGCCCAGGCTTCTGGTGGGATGAAAGACCTTCAGCCAGTAATTATGATAAACACCAGTGACGCACAAATGCCTTTAAAAGCATAAAGCATGCACTATGTAAAGTGAGGCCTTCTTTTCTGAAAAAGAAGATCAGATTCACACAACAGCCTCTACTGGCAAATAATGAAATTAAATATGAGGGAAGAAAGCAATGAGAAAAGCAAGAACGAA